TCGTAATAACCTCATATTATACACTACCAATATGACTGGGTTCTAATGATTTATTTAGTCCAAGTTATTTAATGTAGACTACAGTGCATTGGGACTGCTATCTATATTATTCTCAATATCAATTGTGAAACCACGTTTGTGTCGTTTTTTGTGGTAGCATATTTGTTTCAAATGATTTACCAAATATTTTAAATTAATTCAAATAATCTAAAAAAAAATATTTTTTCACTCTAATTTGTAGGAATAAATAATGACCACACTTGAATTTTCTTCTGGGAATCAGAACTATTTATTCTTTCACATTTCTTTCCATGAAATGTATAAATCTGAACAGGTTGAGTTAGATAAGTAGCTCTTTTGACTAATATAAATCGCCCTCTCAATTTTCTTTTTATTATAAAATTATTACCAAGCTTGTAAAGTATATTTGCTAATTAAATGCACTTTATCTCGCATAACATTCCACAGCGAACATTGCATTTGTGATGAAGAAGACTGCAATTGGTATACGTATCGAATTTTGTTTTATTATTTAACCGAGTGGTCAAGGGGTTTAGAACTGTTAACGTGATTTGTATCTGTCAGTGAGTGGTGAGAGTGTTTCATCATAAACCCATGGCTAAACAACAGCGTCAGCGTAATCTAATTGGATTCAAAATATCACTACATTTGACATACCGCAATCGAGTTCATCACTCCAGTCAATACAATCATTATAACCATCACACAAATTGTAGCTGTGATGAATACATATACCATTGTCACAGGTAAACATGTCGTCACTGCAAGCTGATAGAAAAATGACCAACACGTAATAAAGACGTCTTCAGGACGAAAAAAGAATTGATTGTTAAGTTGTTAAAAAATGTTTTGTCGTATATTGTGAAAGCACTTTCCACTAAAAATTCCGTATTTAAATCAGGTATACTACATCAGTGAATTGCAGTTATCAACGTATTCAAAACACCAAAATTAATTATATAAACGGATCGCCAGCTAAAGTGTCAATAACGTGCGGAGTAAAATTATTGTGGATTTCAATGTGTAAATGTTTGTTTAAAATGTTCATAGATGCATTACTCACTGCAGTTTATCTCATCGCTCAGATCTTGACAATGTATGTAGCCATCGCATACATCCCACTCAGATATGCACTTGTAGCCATCGCACTGCAATTCGTTATAATCACATGCTGGAAGCAAATCAACATTGTATAATATTTTCAAGATTCGAGAGATCCACTTAGACGCGTGGACGAGTAAAATGAGATTTATGTACGTTATGTGCTGTTAAAATGTATGTGTTCTACTTACTGCAATTGCGTTCATCACTGAGGTCGCCGCAATTGTCATAATTATTGCACACGTAATGTGAGTGAATACATCGACCATTATCACACAGAAAGTCATCTGTGGTATTGCATGCTGTAATGCAATGAACGACATTAGCATGAAATATATCAACTTCAAATGTTTACTTACTTAAATTATCGTGAGTCAAGCGAATTCAGTTACCTGTAACAAAGTAGTTCGGTAGTAATCCATTACATTCTTGGGTTACATTTAGCCCAGTTAATCTCAAATTACCTAATTTATTAGCAGCGAACTTTGGCACACCAGCTCAAATAGTGTACCACAGTCATGTTGCAATTTATCGTATTCGTTACTAGGTGTATTTCCTTTCTTGTATAAGAAATGCTGGTAAAAGTAGACGTTTCTATATACAGAATTGAACTACAAGGGTCCCTCCCGCCACAATAAATTGAACTGCTTGTAGACAGAGGAATCATAATTCTGTTCATAGGATGACGATTAAATACTCACAACAAAAATATTCATCTTCGCCATATTCGCAGTGGTTATGATCGTCACATTTCACTGTTGAGGGTAGACACCGCCCATTGTTGCATGTGAAATGGTCGCCCTGGCAGTCTGACAAACAATGGACAGTATGATTATTGATTTGTTTTTAAATGTTTTTGAGCCAGGCGACAGTTCTGGACATTGAGTGTCACTGTTGTCTCTCCTGCAAGTGCTAGTGTTGACACATAAGTCATATCTCTCTATCAAATGGCAATTTTAATGCGCTATCCTGGTGTCAACCAGACTCGGTCAAACACAAGCACTTATAATTATTGATTAGTCTTATTCAATTTGCAATAAAAAAGGGTGCAATTGCAACTTTCTAGCAATATAAATTCGGTTATTGATTAGTCAAAGAATAACAATTTATATACTTACCACAACCAGTTTCGTCACTCCAGTCCTGACAATGATTATACCCGTCGCATATATGTCCTTTATATATGCAAATGCCTGTATCACATCTAAGTTGGTTACTGTAACAAGCTGTGAATACAATTTCGGTAGTATGTAATCAAATGACATACTTTTAAACAGTGTTTTGGTAGCTATATTGTTGCATGTGGCATTCGCATGTTGATGTGTACGTTATTTTAAGTCAATAATTTCTCATGCATGATCATGGTCTTTTTTTACAGAGAAACGGGCATGTTCCATAAAAATATTGACGTTTTGAACGGCTTTGTGTCACTAAGTTATGTCAAGAGCGGACTTAGAAGAGTCTTTTATATTAATTAACATACTAAAAATTATGTAAATGTCATCATATACTTTTTTGGGAAACCACACCTCAATCTTATTTCGTGTATAACATAAGTGGAACTCGCGTAAAATATGTTATTGTTTTTTTTTTAAATTAAATCGGAACCAAAGTATGAACATCTTTAGATACTGTGCAAAATATCGATACATCGAAAAAGAGTGTATATATGTGACTTAATTAATCCCTAAACATTGTATCTGATTAGGTATAAATTTAGAACTAAGATTTGTTTGTTTTCAAAACTGTTGTGGATAATAAAGTGAAAAACTAGTGGTATAATTTGTTATGGTTTATTACGATTCCACATAAAATTATTACACCTATGTTTACACAGGGATCAAATTATCTTACTAATCTGAGATTAGATTATATTTAGAACAAGGTTATTTTTTCATGAAACAGCATATTAACCATGTTTTTTTCTATTTTTAATCTTCGATCGACATGTAAACGTTTGGAAACATGTTGACTCAAATGAAATAATGTCATGTTGCAATGATTCAACAATGTATTTTTTAGGACTTACTGCAGTTAAGTTCATCACTCCAGTCGTCACAATCAGGATATCCATTACACTGATTCCAGTGGAAAATACACTGTCCATTGTCACATATAAACATATCATCATAATCATACCAATCATAATAATAGTAGTAATAATCGTTCATATTAGTACACTCTAAAAAGGTAATAGATAATTAATTTCAGAAAAACCGCAATCACCAACATGACTTGAATAAATTGAATTATCTCCTGAGAACAGTCTATAAAGTTTTGTTTCAGAATAAATGCCATTTGAGGTTGATAGGTTACAACTATATTGTAATAAAAGATAATAATATTTTCGGACCTTGGTTTTAGTGAATGGTTGAATGCTTCAAATACACACAGAAACTTCAATGTACTATATTTAAGCAATAATCTCTCACTGAAGGTAGCGAGATATTTCACAATTTATGATGAGTTATTATTTAAGTGGCTTTAAGCAATGGAAACAACACAAAATGTTTGAGCTAAACAGTACATTCGACTCCTCGTTTTCGTTAAAATAACTGTTCCATTTATCTAACATACACATATTATAATGTCCTTCATTGCAGTACATAAACAGAATTAAAGCTAACTATCAAAGAGTAATGATTTATTAATAACATTTTCTATTCATATGTTTGACCTATCATGGAAAAATGATTGTCCTCAAGCTGATATTCAGGCCCTGAACAATTTAAGTATTAATTTGGAATGTCTTTTTTAAATATTTTTAATTAAAAGTGGAATTATCTCGGAAAGTAATCTTTAGTGTGTGAGCGATATCTGCGACACGGTGACATGAACGCAATTTAGTTGAAATTGAGAGGACATATATATATATCATTATTCAAAAGATATAAGAAGAAATTCATTTACTCTTTTACAGGTACTATTCACTAGAAATAGGAATATTCATTAACTGTATATGTAACCAATGTCAATACTCGTTCATGTGAATTGAATTGTTCACTTGTGGAATAATTTAGCAATTCCAGTAATGTCATCTAATTAGATTTTCGTTTTGCTGGGTGGTTAAAAGAAATTTGCTGGAATTTTTGTTGTTTAACATTTGCTTGTACATATCAAAACTGAATAGATGGATGGACGGTCGACAGACCATTGAATAAATAAATTATCCTTCCAAAAATGTAAAACAAGTTCTTGTCCAATCACAATAGTGTATTTATGCACTGGTATATAGTACATAACTGCGTATTTTCTGTCAAAATGTTCCTTGTTTTGTTTCCTTGGCTTAGCATTTAGAAGTTACTGCCAATTTAAGAATTGATCAAAACACGTAGCGTTGTGTTTCTGTTTCAAAACGCGATTGGTGTAATTTATTTCAAGTCAGGATTATGTTTGAACCACAAATATATTGCCTACATTAAACAACTTCTGTGTACATGTATTACCTTGATACTGGCGTTTATCATGCTGGGCTTTTCTCAACAGACTGCTGTAATCCTGGAACCAAGAAGATACATGCGTATCAGCGTATGATAAAGAAAGGCATTATGGTTTTATGAAAATATCAGCTCAGTTTCTATTTATATTTAACGGCTATACGAAGTTCAAACACTGTAGTTTTGGATTAATCTCACCTGACGGTTAGAGCTAGTCAAATAGGAGAAAAGAGAAACTAACATGCAAATTATTCTAAAATAGTACTTTGGTATAGTAGATATAGTCAGATATAATAACATATTCATATCTTCAGTCTAGCAACAAACTTATTGGAGTATATAGCTAGTCGTCGAAATATTGATTATCGTGCTAATTGGATGTTGATAACAAACAAACAAACAAAAAGGTAGGGTTATTTAAGTTACATAATGACATAATTCCACTCGACTATATGTGTAATATGAGTACTCAACTGGTATGGCTTGTGACATTATTCAGATTGAAACTACTTAATTTTGTTTTTCTCACCTCTTCGTTTTCATGTCTTCCTGATAGTGTGCTTTGTTCACCCACCGAACCATCGCCTGGCCTCTGCAGAGTCCTGTGGAATGGTACGTCATCAGCTGTAACATACTGGAAGATGAGATATTATAAGTCAATGCCGGATAATTTCATATTCAACAAAAATGGTAATAACACGTGGGCAGTGTCGTTATACGAATAATTTCTAATGAATGGAGTGGAAATATTGTTTTACCTTGTAGTCATTCGCCTTAACCCGATGATTTGAATAATAATATTTTGCTCAATCATCGTTGTTGTATTTATATATTATCTTAATGAATCCATATAGTTTACTATTGAATGTAGTGTTTTCGAGATGTGACAACTGACGGTATACTGACACATAGTATAATTACCTACAATATATATACATGTAACCTTTTCAGGTCATAATATGAACCTGATCAATCAAGACTTCGCTACTTTTCCTATCAGTTTCGCAGATATTGAGATGATCGAGACGTCTAATTTGTGACGACACTGTTTAAATTATCCAGTAATTAATTTGTTCGTTATATGAGTGCAGAATACGCAAATAAGATTCTAATTAATTATATATGATTGGATTTGTGAAATTATGGTAATGTTCATCTTCACTGGGTTTTGCAGACGGTCAAACAATTATTTTTAATTGAAGTAAAACATGTTTGCAGGTGTTAACTAGTTCTATTCACAGGGAACTCGTTAACTCCAAAAACAGGGCGGGCAGGGTTATTATTTGTTTGATGATCTTTACAATTACAGTTGCTCGGACGTACTCGGTCCCTCTGAATGATCATATCCCTCGTATAACATTCTCGAAAATAAATGTCCCCAAGGTGGAATGTAACATCGGTCACGGAAATGTACATGTACATGTCGCTCATGTTAGGAATTGGGAAACGCTTTAAAGCAAAATACCACATATTAAATCTCAATTGTATGTTTCTTGATCAGTATCTTTGCAAAATTGTAACATTGAAGATCACGTTAACAACTTCATACCGTGACGAAACGGGGAGAAGAGAACTAAATTGGCGACGAATAAGTAATTATTCAACAGGTAAATAAACAAAGACTTAAAATTAATATGCGAATTATAGAAAATATGGAAACGTGTCCGGCGAGGTATACATTAACACTTACTCACAATAAAAAAGGCAGTCAATTTCTTCGAGAGGGACACATGTCACACAACCGTATGATCATGGCTGAGCAAAAATGTCATGCAACAACGTAAATATATATTATGTGTGTCTGAAAGGCAAATCTAGATGCAGTTTTGCTTTATAGTAGCCCATACGTAACAATCATATGTATGGTGATATGAACGAAATGCTATGACCAAAGCTCAAATGCCGCTTGGACTGAACTGTTGAACTGTTCTCAATTACTGCAGCTGATTTATGACAGCAAGTTTGCTGATATGTCTTATTATGTAGACGTCTCAGACGTCTTTGAATCTCGCTCCACGGGCAACATAACGCCTTGAATGCACGTGAACCTTGTTCAGTCGTTCCGTAGCGACATTAGCGAAGTGTAGCCTAGTGTTGATATGTTGCAACGTAACGAGAAGTCGATTGGAATAAATGAATGAATGGATCATGCCCTAGAGCAGTAATACCCTCGACTCTATGACACTTCTATGAAACTAACCCGATTTCAACCTCGCTGTACACTTTACGTTGTGTTCAACCAAGACATACCGCGGCCGGATATTGCACTCACGCAAACTGTTTTGTGGAGTTCGGGAATACTGCCAGCAATCAAGTTAGTTGTTGGTAAGATATCCCAAAGGTGTGTGAATCTGGAATTATTCGCGTTTCGTCTTGACACCACTTGCGGTTATTGAGATCGCGATTGGTCACGGGAATGATGGAGTCCTCAAAAACAATTCTGTTCCGACGTCCCCCAACAAGCTGGGTAATAGCATTCTGATGTATTCCTGCTTTAAGCATACCAATTGCTTTTCCAGAGTTGCACCAAAATAAATTTCTTTGGACGGAATAAATTTTACACACACGAGTGCCGGGTTCAAATATCTTCTAAAACGAATAGTTCACATGTCACCGTGCCACGTCACGAAGACTCTCCAGCAACTGGTGTACAACTTAGTCACTCGCTCTGCACATTCACTCATCAGAGAAGTTAAATTCGGTTGCCTGTTATTTTTGCTTACTTTATTTACTTTTCAGATAGATTTTTTTCATGTATATGTTTAGTATATGTTTTTGAAAATGATTTTCATGTCCAGGGTCAGTATCACTGACTGATTGGCATCTAAATATTGGTTACATATATCGGGTGTTCATGATCAGAAGCTTAATTTTGACCATGTCATCTCGTAAGTGTTTCATAATATATGTAATCATTTCTTCTGTTATCATGTGTGACTTGTAAATAGCTAGAAGATGCATTAATATATGGCAAATTGGAGATAAGCAACGTGTAAAATAGAATAACAAACTAATGACCTACCTGTTGAATGGTTAATGCTGCCACATATAGTGCAATTAGTGTTAGTTTTCTTACGACCATTTCTGAAAATTAGTATTATTTTTATGAATCGGTGATTTTTTAATGTCGCACATTCTGGTGGACAAATTAGTAATTACCTCTAAGTAAAGAAAGAAAGTCAAAGAACATTCATTGTACAAATGCATAACATAGTGGGTAAAAAGAAAACTAAACTTACCAGTACTCCGAGGTTCTTCCTGCACTGGCTCCAGAAGGTATGAAAACTATGCTCTTTCTGTGCGTAAATATATTTTCTTTAATTATGCATCTGCATCATGTGAAAGAACTGCAATGATTGGTCATGGTTTATCTAGTATATAACTTGCACAATGAAATGTAGTTGATGTTTTTGCCAAAACCATTGAAACTAGGTACCCGGATTGCACGCTTAATAGAACTTTGGTCTAAGTAATTATGCAATATGGTGGAAACTATCCAGACGAAACTTCATTCGTGTATGTATTGAACAAACCGATCCATTAAAAAAATAACAGTATGTTAAATATATACTTTTAATTAAAACAAAATTTAACAAATTATCGTGTATTATATGCTCGTCATATGCTGTAAATCAATGTGTGTAGCACTGCACTGTACTGTACTGTACTAACAGCTGTTTGTCGTGAGCACGGGTGTTTTTTTTTTGTGTTTTTTCTTTTTTTTACATTCTTTTGATCACAATTACAAATATATTTTCGTGTATTGCTTCATGTTAAAATGATTTATGTTGAATATGTGTAACTGTGTTCCAAAACAGGGGGCCCATTGTTTCCCAAACGGATCGTTTGGCTGTGAAAGTTTCGTATATTTTCCCTGGTTTGTAGGAATCTGAAAAACGCGTTTCCCAACTTGCCTTTTTATTTAGTTTCATAAAGTGAATATATATCGGGGGATTAATCGCATGTATTTGATTATCACTTCACGCTCTGACTTTTTTGCGGGGGTGGTGCATGTTTACTTCAATTTGAAATATTTGCCATGCTTCTTATTATGGGTTATTTGTTTACTAGTGGTAGTTCGAATTTATTATTTTATCATATTCAACTGAACGAAGCAATTTAAAATACGCACATTCCGCCTATTGATAAAATAGATGGCATGCCACTCGTGCGTAATCTGTGCTTCTTTGCAAATTCTAACTGTAGCGTTGAAGCTAACCCACCTTTGACAATTGCCCATTGTTGTCAGCTTGGCCAGATGTTACATAACTTGTTGCTTATAGTGAGTTACACATGTGATCAATGCTGTATAAACTCTGTACTTTGTTTACTATGGGCACTAAAGTAATATAGCGCGTGGCCGAAATATAATTGTGTCACTGAACATAAACGTATAAAACATTGTTTTTTTTGTGTTTGTTATGAGCTGTTATTTCTCATTAAAGCGCGGTAGTCGTCGCGCTGCGCATGTTCGACATTTGTGTTGATAAACATTGATTTTCCCACAATCCAATGCGCTCTTCAAATGGAAATCACAAGTATGAGGTTTAACCTGGGCGCGACTTGCACTGATTACGGCCGGTGACTTCTTCGATACCTTCCAATCATATGAAAATTACCTAATTAAAGCTTGGAAACGTGTCAGTTCGTACTCGTTGATCTGCGCAACAGTCAAAGTCGCCATCTTTGTTTATATGAGACCCATACATCTCGACTACCGCGCTTTAAATTATTACTGCGCGCAGTTCGGGTCAGGCAATATGGGGTAACATCGAACAGACATAGCGAAAGTTGATACGATCGCCGCGCTACCTTTGTCTATACTTTGCAGTATTTTCGTGATTCACCAGGAATATATTAATCACATGAAACTACTTTCTTTGTAGCACTAAAAAGATTGACAGACGTGGACACACAGGCAATTTGGTATTTAAATCATACGCTTCATAATATAAGTTCTAAGCTGTATTTCAGCGTAAGCTGAATCTTGCATTGTTATCGTTTTAGCCATACATTCGAGATCGTGTGTTTGTTATTGCAAACGCCACAAATGTAGTCGGTGTATTGTATATCTATCCTGTATTGAATACTTATTCATTTTTGCTGATTTGAAAAACCTGATATTTTCGGGCCACTCAAGAGACCTATATGTTAAAATCCCTGGGAAGGAGGTGCACGCGGTAAAAGTACTAGTTTGATCGAGTTTCTGAATATTTCCAAATCACCAATCATCTTTCTAATATGCGTGTTTGGGCACCACACTGAGTTGCACTAATATTGGTGCTACGCGACGTATACATTAATACACTTTTGCAAACAAATTTCGCTGCTCCAAGATGCGCGTATATGTTAAATGTTGGAAATATTTACCAGTGAAGGTGGATACTTCATTATTATGTACTATGTACGTATTACGTTACATACCTTCAACAAACTATTCCTATTCCATTTGTCTGCCTATGTCGTGTCAAAGTGTCGGCAATATACATAGCAAAGGCTAGTAACGGGGGCAAATATCTAATTGTTTTATTCTATTTTTAATATGAACCATGGCATTGAAAACATTAGAATGACTATGGGATTCAATAATTTAAAACCGTTTATATCAGCTTGAGTTTAAGGTATTGGGGACAAATCGTTCGGGTTACTGTGGTGAACAATATGTGTTTTTTGAATGGATTAGTGAATGGAATCTCGATTGGCTGCATAGCATTACACTTACTCACGGGAAACGTAATGCTATATGTGAGAAAGTACCCGTGGACAAGTGGAAACCACTCTTAAATAAATTACTTGAATAATTTAGAATATATATATATTAAACAAAACCAATTAATTGCACAAGATATGTAACGGTTTTGTATATACCTTAATAAAGTGTCTGTTCGTGGCATAAATGACGAGGTTGATAATTGAATCTAACATAACACAAATTGATTGTTCAACCAACTGAGTGCCGATATTAGGCCGTTCAGTGACCAGAGTTAATTAAATTCCTATTTATCACGAATTGACTGGACTGTTAGTAGTACTCACATATTGTAATGGAAAAGTGATGTAATGTGGATGTGTCGATCCTGGCTCACCAGTGACATTTCCATAAACAATCATACATAAAAAGTTGACTGAAGCCATGACACAATCGAACAGTAAATTGGACGTCAGAAGAAAAGCTTGTAAAGTAACCGCCTATTAAAGGGAGTTGTATTTTTTGCAGACGTGCGTGTGTTTGTTTGTCTGTAAGCAAGGTGACTCAACAAGGTATACCTGGATTGTCCCGAAATTGTCATGAGAGGTTACACTTGCCTAGTCTTGGAAAGTATATAGACAGTAGGTTTTTGTATCACGAGTTTAGTCTTTTTTTCCAGGTCCCAGTTACACACATACTTATCCACATTTGATTCAAGTGGCCCCGGTAAACACTCGTGAATGCGGTCATCTGACTTTTGCACACACAAAAACAGAAGCAGTCAACCGGTCAATGTTGAGGGCGCTCTGTTAAACACGTGTTTACAGTGAAGATTTGAACAAAATGGCGGAAGAAATACAAAATCCTAGGTGCTTCTTCGATGTGTCTATTGATGGTCAGAAATGTAAGTAATACGTGATGCAAAAATATGTTAATGCTTCGGTGACATCATAAACAGGACATGTGACAATTTCTGGTGTAATCACGTCATTATTGTTGCTCCCAACCCAACCTATGGAAACAACGGGGACACAGTAAGTGACAATGCAATTCGTGGTAATGGCAATGTTAAATCGAAATAGGGAGATAGTTATAATGTGTTTTGTGGCGCGGTCGTGTGTGTTCGGTGATCATGGACACCAATACCACCTCGATTTTCGTCGATGACTTTCACGGTACGGAGGATATCAACCTCGCTCTTATACATAGAACGGTTTATTAAAGTGCGGTAATGGCCAACGTCACTGGAAGTTTACCACCATGATTGTTCTAATTGAGTTAAATAGGAAAGCTTCGGTTTCTATATGTGATTATACTCTAAAAATATAAATGAAAGAGTCGATTCAGATTATTTATGGAATAAATTGGGCAGTCACGTTAGGAATGTTCAAATATTCGCCTCAAGGTGGTTCGTATAACGTATTTTATAAATTAACTATAATCCAAATCCACTGGTTGATCAGAAATTACTGCATATCAAATTAACACTATTTTATTAAATGAATGCGCTTATCAAAATGCTTGTCATGAAAACCATTGCCTTTCACAACAAACATTTCTTTTATGTTGTAGGTGGTCGTATGATATTTGAATTATTTGCTGATGTTGTTCCAAAGACTGCAGAAAATTTCCGAGCACTATGCACTGGTGAAAAAGGAGTAGGTGCTTCAGGGGTTCCATTACACTATAAACAGTGTACATTTCATAGAAGTAAGTTGATCTTTGGTTTGATCAGTGCACACACTTTTTATGCAATAATAAATACAATTTAAGGATTGTCATGTGCAGCTTCCAAATTGTCTCTGACTTGCAACATATTTGAGACAGGTTAAAATGCCTATTGCATTAGTCCACATTCAGATAAAGTATGAAAACTGGGACTCTGTACATTCGTCCATCCATCTCCACCTATATCTTAGAAATTCCTGGACCAATTAAACTACACACATACATCATACATATTCACTTCCATTTGTTTGGCGATCTAATTCAATATGGCCGAATGGTGGCCATTTTAATGTTAAAAATGCATCAAAATTTAGCATTGCTGCCTTTCGGGACCCTGATCTTGACCTTACATGGACAGGTATTGTTAGAATTATTTGGTACATACATTGAACATTAAAACTTAAAATTTTTCAGATAGAATTGAAAATGGACAATGACAGAAATTTTGTACTAACGAATGCTGTTCTCTGCCATGCACGCTGACTCTGACATGCATTGACTGGGTGCATTCAACTTTAAAACTACATTTAACATCATTTTACCATCAGTATTTGTGTATTAATTAAAGCGAGAGGGTCGTCACCTGCAAAGGTTGACTTTGGTCACATTGTCTTTGTGAAATGTAGTTGTTAATTGCTCTAAAATATTGAACCTTTCTCACGATTGTGTCATTATTAAAGCTGCACACTGCAGTAAGTTCTACATCATGTGTACCAGTATGTAACACTGCTCTTATTCTGTCTTTTCAAAGTAATTAAGTCCTTCATGATACAGGGTGGTGATTTCACCAAACATGACGGCACCGGCGGTGAGAGTATATATGGGGAGAAGTTTGAAGATGAGAACTTCAATATTAAGGTAGGAATTTAGCCACTGGTTTTATTGTTGAATCTAACTAATAGATGTTTCTTAGCTTGTCTTTACTGTGGTTATATTTTTCGGGGTCTGTATTTTCAATGGTCAATTTAAATTTTATATTAGATAATCCAGACTGGTGTTGATTTTGACTGGTTGATTTTGTTTTTTTATCACATAATTTTGATCAATATCATTCATAGTTGTAACGTGTGAAATATCACTAGCTGATTGGGTATTGTAAACACCACAATATTCATGTTCAACCATTCCATGCATGTTTGAACAATGTGCTGGGAAAAAAACAAATTATATGGAAGTACACTTTATATTACAGCAGTAAAAGAATTTTGTAGTGATTTCTATTCTTCAAACGACACTATGACAACTAGTTTGTAAATAGCTTGTTGACTGAAATTCTGAAAGAATAATAAGGATCATAATTCTGTTGATTTTCATAACTTTTGATGATCATAACTGCAAAAAATGATTAGACATTATGACTTATTAGCGTAAATGAGCATATGATATTTAAAGGTATTTGTGTAAAATTGCAATTACTTTGTTTGTTTTTTTGCTTTTTTTATACTTTTAAAAGCTATTCATGTGATGTAGAGCTGCTTGGCTGTGGATAATACTAGACTAGTGTCACTTGTATCAAACAGCTTGGTATCATGCTGTATCAAATCCCTGTTCCTGGTCTCTCACTGATAGTATTGCAGTCAAATTAATTCATGATTTATTTGCATACTCTGATATTGATATTAGTCAATTTGTTAGTATTGTTGATTGCCGTGACGTTTTTGTGACTGGTCTATTTTTTTTCTACAAATCAAGGCAATTTTGTGTGAGCTGTATTTCTCATTATCAATTGAATTCTGGTAAATGTGACTGCTCAATCTACACATCTGAGAAATACCATAATATACACACTGTTCAATGTTCTCATTTATGATCTTTTACATAGCACGATATTCCTGGTTTACTGAGTTGTGCAAATGCTGGACCCAACACTAACGGATCACAGTTCTTTATCACTACTGTACCTTGTCCTCATCTTGACGGTAAACATGTGGTCTTTGGAAAACTCCTGAAAGGAATTGGTGTGTTACGAAGATTGGAAAATGTAGAGACAGTTCAAGATAAGCCAAGCATAGTAAGTGATTTTGGACTGCACATTTCAGCAGTGATTGTCAAGCTTGACATACTATATGATGTAGACCTGTAAGAACAGTGGTTGTCACCATCCTTCCTTATTTATCAAACTCTTGGGAAACTGCGATCCAAGAAAGATTCCAGAGTAAATTATCTAGTAGCTTTCATACATTTTCATTTCACATAAATCATACATTACAGTAATGACTCTTACCAAATATATGTAAATCTTCCTTTTTTGATCTTTTTTGTAAGCTCCCTTCATCGGTCAAACAGTACTCTTCCTGGTAGATTTACAGAGGGAGACTGTGAAGTGGCATACAGCTTTGAAATAGACGTATTCTGCTTCAAGTTTATTGATTAGTAGTCTGAACTGTAAAACTTTCACTAGTTGCCCCACTTTCATTTGTTGCCATGAGAACCAAAATTTGCAAACACTTTATTTTTAGCTTTATAAGTTTCATCAAGATTGTCAGAAGGTGCTGGATCTGGAACGGCCAAGCTTGACAGCAGTAGCACCAGGGTTTTCAATAGTGACATTGTATGCGTTTCACCATTTTTTCTCTGATGGTTATCATGAAAATTGACACAGTCATGGAAACAGAATATCATGATCATTTCTCGCAGACAAAGTTTACAGTATATTCCACATATGCAAAAGAGGTTACATTGAAGACATCAATAAAATTAAGCAAATAGGATATTTATACATGTAATAAATATTGTAAAATTGAATGAAGGTTTCTCATGGAATGATTATTTACAGGCATGCATAATAGAAGACTGTGGTGAAATTCCTGCTGGTGAAGACGGTGTAACATGCGTAGATGATGGTACTGGAGATACATATGCAGATTACCCTGAAGATAGCGATGTTGGTACCAAAGATGTAAGTCTAAGATTATGCTAAACTTGCATGCTGTTGGTTGAATATTGTCCAATGGATGTAAACTTGCATGCTATTGGTTGAATATTGACCAATGGATGTAAACTTGCATGCTAACCAAGCATTATCACCATTCCGGAATTGTATCCGCTAGTGCCCGGACTGATTCTTGGTTGGACAAACTTGGTACATAGCTTGAACATTATTGAAGCAAATCATTTTTTTTTTCATATTGGATTTGAAATCATTTCCAGCTGGCATTTTGTTTTAATGGATGCTGTTTCAGAGTTGTGTCTCTGACAAGCCCTGTCAGTTAAGTTCAAACATAATTTATTTCCTGAACATTATAACTCACAAGGAATATGTAACACAATAAATTGTTGAAAATAGTTATTCATAAAATAAACATTATTTTTTCTTATCATTTCTTTAGTTCTTTAAATATTACAATATGGCAACTTAACTGAATAAAAAATACTTGACAGGAAATTTTGAAAATTGAATGTGAGACAAGATTCATTTCTATCAACATGAAAGTCTGGGTTTTGAAACTGTATTTCCTGTTAAATAATTCAAAGTTGATTGAAAGTTTGTTTGTTTTTTTACACCAAGTGGTTTTACTAATTTGGTATATACCACCGGTAATTGTGTACAGTGTAATAAAATTTATTAAATTTTTCTTTGGAATGTTTGGCAGTGATATGCTAATTA